GAGAGTAATTTACAGAAAGCAGTCCAAATTACTTTACATAAATAGTTGGTTTTCAAAAGCATCAGAAGTCCACAGAATTGACATTACAGACATTTCTTTATTAAAGATCACTTGACTAGAGACCTGTCTTCTCCTGACAGTTTCCCTGTCTTGGATTCTAAGAAGAAATTGAGCAGCTTTGGAGTTACTCCAGTAGTGGTGAGACAGCCACTAGGCAAGAATTGCCTCTTCATCTACAGACAAAATACTGTCCAGAACAAGGACACACTATGTGAAATAGTCAACTGATAATCTCTGCCAAGACAGAGTGATCAGCCCTTAAACATTTTGCATTACTAGGTCTGTCAGATGATCCTGGGCCAGAATGCTAAAGATCAGATGTTCCAACATTTTAAAGTATAAGGGACTTTCCAGGTAATTAATGGTCTATATAAATTGGCTAGTATTAGAAGCTATGCTTTGTGCTTCCCATATTTGCAGTTAATTCAGTCATTATGGATTTCTGACAGGATTGAGGACTTATAGTCTTATAGCTAACTGAGGCTATTTACTTTGAAAGAACAGCTTTGAGAGGATGGTTTTCAGATGACATTTATTCTAAAGCCAGGATATAAGTCAAATGCAGAATTTATAGTCTTTTAGGATAGATGACAATGGTCTTTTCGTTGAAAATAATGTTGGACTGGGTATTAGGTCTATCTTATAACTTACAATTACAACATTGATAATAGTTGTGCTCAATTTATAGTTTGAAAGAAAGTTGTGTATTTTTTCTTTTTTTATTCTAACAGAAATGGTGAAATGTAGCAGAAGCTCTGTCATTGGATAGAAAAGAGATAGGCAGAGATAGGAGTGGGGAGGAGGAAGGTTAGAGCAGGAAAACTGAATAGGAACATGGGTGTGGCCAGGAGCTAGCCAGACCTGCCATCAATTTTCTAGTACCTCCTGCTACACAAGACTATGTAACAGGAGCTAAATATAATCAAAACACACATATATGCATTTATTATATGTACATATGGTAATATACATTCTATTTATAAACTAGTTTCTGTACATAGTGTGTGATGTTTGCTTGGATATATTAAAGGTTGGAATTTTCTTCTCTGTAGACTCTTAGCAAGTTGTCTGGAATGTGCAATGTATTCTGGTTTAATGCTTATTCAACCCAAAAAGAAACAAAATAAAACATACTAAAAAGTACAATAATATAATAAAATCTTTTATACAAACATGAAATAATGAAAATATAAAAATATTAATTGCTGTCATTACTCATGTGCACATACTCATATGATTATGCACTGCATGCACATATAATTTTTAAAAATTTAAAAATCTTTAAAATAAATAAACTAAAGAAGAAATAAGTGATTTTAAAGAAATCAGTGTTCTTTAATCTCATCATTCAGGAAGAAGAAGCAGGTAGATACTGTGAGTTCAACATCAGCCTGTTGTAAAAGTGAGTTCCAGGCCTGTTAGAGATACTTTTAAGACAGTGTTTGAAGAAAACTAGCATGACTTTCTAAGGAAATCAGGAAAGAAAGAAACGTAAACAAAATATATAGTAAACATTGAAATAATAAATTCTCTGTATTACAAATCCATAGTCAATAGAGAACAATTTAAGCAATATCATTAAACTAACTTAAAAACAGGAATGAGAAGTCACTATCCGGCATCTTCACCTATATCTATATCTATATCTATATCTATATCTATATCTATATCTATATCTATATCTATATCTATATCTATCTATATCACCTATATCTATATCTATATCTAATCTATATCTATATCATCTATATCTATATCTATATCTATCTATCTATATCTATATCATCTATATCATCTATATCTATACCATCTATCTCTATCTCTATCTCTATATCTATATCATCTATATCATCTATATCTATATCATCTATCTCTATCTCTATCTCTATATCTATATCATCTATATCTATATCTATATCATCTATATCTATATCTATCTATATCTATATCATCTATATCTATCATCTATATCTATATCTATATCCATATCTATATCTATATCTATATCTGTATCATCTCTAACATATATACATATATTAGATATATTATATAATATATATCTTATATATAATATAAATATATAATATATTAATATTATATATTAGATATATATAAAATGTTAGATAGATAGACAGACAGACAGACAGACATAGACACAGATGTAGACATAGACATAGACAAACATAGACATAGACATAGATATAGATATCTATGGAATACTATTTAACTGAAAAGCAAATTGAAACCATGCAGGTAAATGAGTGGAACAAGAAAGTATTATATCGAGCGAGATAACCCAGACCCACAAAGACAGGCACCATGTATTCTTTCATATATATGGTTCCTAGACCCCAACCTTTAAATGTGAGTATACAGTAAAGAGTAACTACCGAGAGTAGAAGAGTAGAAAGGGACCATGCAAGGAAACTTCCAAGAGGAAAATAACAGGATATATCATATACATGTAATATGAAGGATAAATGGGAAAGGAGAAAGTGAGTTTTAATGAGAGAAGACAGAAAAAGGAAACTACAGAGAATAGTGAAAAAAAAGAATAAATAAAATTGAAAATGCTTGAAGGAGACATAGGTTCACCATGTGCTTTGGATATAGGATTAAGAGGATTTGAAAAGTAACTGACCCCCAAACAGGGGATACTAGTTTTCATCGTATCAGAAAGGTGATATAAAATCTTCTGGGGTTGGGAGGGTAGCAATCAGTAGGCCCACACAACTATGATACCTATGAAACACATCAAATACTATCATATTAAAATATTCCTAAAATAAAAATATTGTTGTTAATATCTTGGTAGTAACCAATGGCTGACTAGTTGGACTCAAGGCTTCGTCAAAGTACAGAAATGCTTACTGGTACTGGAAATATAGCTAAATATGTGTGGCTATTGAGGACATGATTTCTAGGAGTGAGTCTACTACTATCACCCTCCCAAATCTGTATGCTTTGTAACTGTCTTCCAAATTTTTTCATTATATTCACAGAAAAGTGTAGATCTTAATACTTGTCAAGAAGTATCTTTGAAATGTAAAGTGACAATTACAGAAAACCATAGCGAGTCATAATGGAGAGGACTAATTTCCATGCTGTTCTCCTTCCCAACTGATACCATTACAATACAGTTCCTGCACCTAGAGCTAATAGAACATTGCAGATATATGGCCAGAATTTTAAGAGCCAGAGTGTCAAAAAAGTTTTTTTGAGATTGTGCCTTCTAGCTATATCAGGAAAGCTACACCATGAAATATCAACAGCATCATTGCCTAAACAAGATATGAACAGTGTAATCAAATGGTAATGTTGGGGAAATGTTAATGGAACAACCCCTAGATGAAGAGCTAGAGAGGGAGAATGAGTCTTCTCCTGAGATACATCCCCTGATGGTTTGTTAAATACTGAGTAATAATCCCTAGAAACATACATATTCTGGCAACGTTGAATTGTCTAATCAAGTTATATTGATGTATCTATATTTATGTGTATCTAGTTAAAAAGTCATACATCTTTCATTCTGATACTTGAAAAGTAAAGGCAGGCTTATTTACATGAGTCTGAGATAATCATGACCTACAGAGTGAATTATAGAGTAGCTAGAACATAGTAGTATCAACATATATTGTTGATCTGTTTGAAAAAAGAAAGGAAAAGAGGAAGAAGAGTGTGTTAATTTAGGAGAGAGTTTAGGTGAAAATATGAGGGGAGTGAGCAAGAGAATAATAAATGATGTAATTAAATTAAAATTTATAAAATTATTATGCTAAGCTGTTTATAAGAAAAGGTATGTATTTGAATGATGCTAACGTTTTTTAAGATAAATTCTTAGCTCTGTCATCAAAGAAAACTGGGAAAGCTGGGTTTGAATACAAGCACTGACACTAATAAAGCTTAAACATACTTCTAAAATATATATATTGTATATAAATGTATACATATATGTATATATACATACATATGTACATATATCCATATGTATAAATGTATATATGTATACATAAATATATACATATATAAATATATATATACATACATACATAATATACATACATATATACATAGCCTAGGAAAAACTGAAGGAGATCAGAAAAACATTAACCATAATCTTAGTTATGATTACCAGTTTTCCTTGGGAAATATGAGGTGACACAAAAGTAAGGAGACAGTAGAGACCTGTGTTTGGCCTGAGACAGCACAGGCACTAACATGAACTACTGACTTCTGCCCTGTGGTCCTGCTTGTTTATCTTCTCTGCTGATACGTGTCACATCTTCACTTCTTCCTGGAGAAGTGATCACCATGAATAACTGATTAGACAGCAAGCTTAGTCCTCTTTGGGCAATAGCAAGGGCTATGACTGCAAACTAATTAAAGGAGCTTTTCATTTATTTCTGAATATTTCATTCAGGAAGGTTGAAATTCCCTGCTTCCCAACACAACAGCACAAAGACACATAGCACTCCTGTTCATTGTTGACAAATTATGATAACTTCATAAGAATTTTGTAATAAAATGTGTGGTTTTTCTGTTTGTTTGATGGCTTGTTGGCACTGAACAGTGAACGATGACTAAAGTGAATCTACTGCTGGGCAACGTGTTCAACTTTTCATAGTAAAATTTTTAGATGAATGCTCACATTTTAATTTTTTACTTTCTGAGATTATAGTTACAATATTTCTCTTTTACAAATACTCCTTCCTTCTCATTTTTATATTCATACATGTTTTTCAATAATTGTTATTACATACATATATGCACACACACACACACATATATATATGCATATATACATATATGCACACACACACATATATGTATATATATACATATATATATATATATATATATGTATATATATACACATATATTCCTAGATAAAACCTGTCCAGTGTGTCCAATATTTAGATTTTGAAAAACAAAATACCTACATGCCTATTTGTGAAGATGGAATAACATTCTTTCACTAACACCGTCTTGATCATTTCTGGCTCTGTGATGACCAGGACAGGGGTCATCCCCTCATATAGCCTGTATTGGAAAAACAGAGATGATTAGTCCACTTTGATCCTGAACTGTGAACTGAATCTTGATCTTCCATTAGAACAATTGTTCTTCACTACTGAGCTATCTCTGAAACTCCTAAGGATAAACTATTAATAATTGATAAGCAATAAAAGTTGCAAGGAACTCTTCCTTTGGGACCATTAGAAATATAGAACATTTCAGTGGCATTGAAGAAGGAGAGAGCCCCTCCTCTCCCTTTTGTCCTAGCTACTAGAGGTGAGCTGAGTAGAAGAGAAGGCACCTGCTGATGTTATGTGAACAGGAAATCTTGTCCCAGTGGTATGGAATGGGAGAGCTGGCAGACTGACCTTTTCAGGTAACTCTCAGGCCCAGATCCAGGACTTTAAATTGGCTCACCCTGACAGTGACACATCCATAAACTTGTGGAGTGTATGAAAGAGCCAATCTTATAGACAAAAATATCCACAGGATCTCCATGACACTGGACAACAACAAAATATCTAAGAGGTACCCCAGTGAGGTTCCAGATTTGATAGTATAGCAGAAACCAGAGGACTAGGACCAGACCAACAATTCATTACAATAAACATTTTCAAGCAAAAATGTATGGACAAAAGGGTATATTGTGGGACACACTGTGACAAGTAAATGCTTCCACAATGAGATTTCCTTATTTTTTTCTATTTGGGGGAGGATGCAAGGATTGAGAGTGGGTATGAGGAGAGAGGGTGATGAGTGGAATTGGGGTGTATGATATGATATGAAACTCACAAGGAACCAATAAAAAGTTTTTGAAAACACAGCACAGAGTGCCCTTCGCATTGGAACACATGATTCTTATTGACCATGCCAACACAACTGACCTTGTGATTAGTACTGAGATTTCTGATGATGAGTAAAATGCAAGGAAGAGTTAGAACCTCATCTACCTTGCTTGTGCCACACAGAATATGGATATCAGTAATTCTCAGACTCTAGTCAAATTACCAACACCCTTCATAGGGAAGTTCTGCTGCTGATGACTCTGTTATCACTCAAAATAATTAGTGAAACAAGCATAGAAGGCAGTAACATGATATAACACATACTACATATGATCTTCAGAGTGACTAGCATGTATCAAAATAAATATTGATATACATTCCTGTTAAGTAGCCATTGTCTTGTAATAAATGTAATAAAAAATAAAAGAAAAAGAAATTTCAGCAAAGTGACTTCTAAGACAAGCAGCTAGAAGGCAGAAATGGAAACAGTGATGTCTCAGCCAATTCATAGAAACTTCTAGTTGTATCTTGGATATGTTGAAATCTAGTCTCAAAATATTAATGAGAGAAAGCCCAGGATATCTCAAACCTATGGAAAGAAGTACAGGCAAGTAAAGAATCCTGAGAGTGAGAAATGGTCTTCCCCAGGGAAGAACACATCAACTTATTACACAATTCCAAGTAGACAGAACATAAAAATACGTATAATTAACACTATACAGATTGAGAAGGTTGTGATTATGAATATAAACTCACTTACACATATGTAGTATATATTTGAAGAGAGAAAAGAGAATGGAGAAAGGAAGCAATCATAACCTCAAGCAAAAATGAAGCAGTAACAATAAGAAAACCACACTGTATAGATACTGTAAATTAAATAAAAATAATGAATATGAATATGGCCATTTTCAGCAGGAAATCATGAGAGTTTCACAGAAGTGTGGAAAGCTCTAAATACAAGTATTATGCAGATTTTGGCTGGGAGGTAACCAGATTAGTTTAAGGGATTAAGATAAATCAATTGACTTCCCAGGTATCGAGGTGAAGCTTTACTTGTGTCTGAATTAATGCATTTCACACAATTTTAAAAAGAAACAGTGATCACAGGAATGTTCACATAATTGGGATTAATGTCTTGCTTTTTCTTTGACTATGTGTGTTTATTGTCTTGCTTGTTCATTGACTATTTGCATCTATTGTATTGCTAGACCTTCAACCTAGAACTGACCTTAATACATGCATGTAATCAAAATGGGATAAAAGCATAAAGGAGGAGGGGGATGGGATAGGGAGTTCTAGGGAGGGGAAAGGGGGAAAGAAGATGACATCTGTATTGTAAATTAATAAAATATCCAATTAAAAATGTCCTAATTGATAATAAATGTTGCCAAGAACACTTATATGACAGTGGGTAAAAGTAAGGCTATGTGTCTGAATCATCAAATGATGCAGACAAATCATGACCTGCAGTGTTTTACTTCAGACTATGAATTACAAAATACTTATGAACATGTTGGCAGGGCAGTCTTTCAGACACTTTAAAATGCATCCCAAGATACTCTTGGCTGACAAAGGCTTCATGAAGGTTGGTTTGACATTTTAGCAAAACCACATATTAGACATTTCCAAACTACTTACCCCCACATATCACCATACTTTTTTCGACATTCAATATCATATTTCCAAATGCCCTGGGAAAAGAAATTAAATAGGTCACTATTTTTATACACATATTGGCCACTAAATGAGAAAAAAATGACTCATTCACCAGGACATCAGTCTCATTGTATAACATTCCTAACTAGCAAGTAATGGAAATCCTGGAGAGTTCTCTCAGAAACTAGGGGAATTTAAAGGTATTCATGATTTTATTTCTGGTTACTGTACATTTGCAACTTGTTCCTTCTCTAATAAAAGTACAGTACCGATTTCTTTTACCTGTGACAGTCTCTGGTTATATTTTGACTCTGAAATCCTGAGACACACTTGTCTTTTCCCATCTGGATGCCTGAGGGTATCAAGAATCATGGAGACTGACAGGAATTTTCAAAAATCTCGTTGCTTCTCGCTGATTACTGCCCTTTCATTCACCTGATGATTTCTCTAGGACTTTGATACACTCAGTAAATTGAAAACAACATCAATGTCTATAGCATATTAGATTTACACTACCAATGAAGTAGAAGCAAATAGGTTTACCTTCTAGTGCCTCTGTTCAACATCAAAAGATGAGGAGTTCCTCCCTGACATAAAGGAAACAAAATCAAAAGTTTGATCTGAACTTTTACCACTGAACCCTAGGCAGTGGAAGGAATCAACATAGTCATTAAGTGGTTATTGTGATTTTTTTAGATAAAATCCCATGTAACTCAGCCTGACTCAATCTCTGTGTATATAAAGCTGAACTTGAATTCCTGATCCTCTTGACTGCTGGTATTATAGGTGTGTGGCATCATGCTCTAGTTTATATGATGCTGGGATCTAGCCTAGGGCTTTGTCTGTTCAAGGCAAGCAATATACAGAAGGGATATCCAGCTTCAGACACTCTGGATTTCAACTGCATGAAACTCGGTCCCTGGCAGATGATAGAGCCCATCATCTCCTGTAGAGTGCTTCCCCAGTGTTTAGAGCTTTTCTGAACCAAGGCATGCTCAGAGACTCTAAAGAAATGGCAAAGGGAACATTACTTCTGTGTCCCTGTCGACAAGCAGACTTAGTAAATTATAATCTAGGACTAGAGCCAGTGTGTTACAAAAGTGAACGTTGTAGTTTCATGGGGATCTGACTTCTTCCTGGGCTGTCAGCATGGCAGATATGTTTGAGGTATCAGATGTTCTTTGCCAAAATTGTCTGATTTAGCTCTGTGGTGACCTTGGACATTTCCCCCTACATGTAAGAAGATATGCTGCTTAATAAATTTCCAATGTAAGTCATTATTTTAAGGAAAATATCATGTTCACAGATATGCAACTTCTTCATTTCTTATACTTTTCCTACTTTTGTTCAAAGAATATGTCATTGGTTTCTTAAAGAAGGTTCTGTAAATTTAAAGACATGAGGATATATTGGTGAAAGTTTAAAGTCAGAGTATCATCTATAAGGGCCATAAGAGTTTCCTATGAAAGGGTTTGTGCTGTAGAATTTTTTACAACATTGTTTACAATTCACTTGTACTTCCACACCCCTGTAGATATTGTCAGTCTACTCAAAAACAAACTGGGGGACACTAGATAAAAACTCAAATGTCAAAAATAGACATATAAGGCACTGAGGTGGGAAGGAGAATAATTTCTTAAATAACATTCACTCCATGACACATCAGAGGATAATGGAGGAGTTTCTTTGTTGCAGATGCAGTTATAAAACCAGCTGAAATGGCTTCTGCTTGTTTAACTGAGCCAAAAGGGCCTCATCCCTGGAACCTCCCTTTAACTTTAATTTTCCTTCCCCTAGATTTCTGAAACCCTTAAGAGAGAATAATGGTAGGTGCTATGACATGGCGTGGCAAAAAGCCCCATCTTGTGTCACAATTTATTGCTCAAAATTGCTCCCAGTAAGAAAAATGTACCCCTCTCTTATTATTTATTACCTAGTTGATGTACTTTTAGAAGCACCTAGTAAATAATTACTCAGATGTTTCTCACTGTCTAGTTTTACTTACAACATAATCAGCTGGAAATTTTCTCAGCAGTCAGGTGTCAGGGGAGACACAGCTTACTGCTCACTTTACTTTCTTTTTAATTTTTTTTAAAGCACACATTTGCACTTTGTTTTAACTGCCCTTTTAAATACAGTGATCTTTCGAGGAAAGATACTTTATTTAAACGGTTCAGAGTTCTGTGGAAAAATATTATAAATAGGACTTGAAAGATTTTACCCAATAAATAAGGCTTTACTGGTAATTACTATATGCCAAGCTTATATAAATGAAATGACACAAAGTCTCTTCACAACAGCTCATATTCTGACCTGGAAAAGTTCACTGCTATTTATTTATATTCCAAATGTTGCTCCCCTCTTTGTCCTCCCTCCCTGAGTTCTTCATCCTATGCCCCCTCACCTTTGCTTTGAAGAGGGTACTCCCCGACTCCTCCACTGCTCCCCACCCCACCATTGCCAGCATCCTCATTCCCTGGGACATCAAGTTTCTATAGGATTAGATGTGTCCTCTCCCACTGAGGACAGCCAAGGACTCCTCTGCTAACTACGTGCCAGGGACCAGGAACCAGCCCATGTATGCTCTTTGGCTGGTGGCTTAGTCTCTGGAAGCTCTGAGGGGTCTGGGTTAGTTGATAATATTGGTCTTTTATTGAGTTGCCATCCCCTTCAGCTCCTTCAATCCTTCCCCTAACTCTTCCATAGAGGCTCCCTACCTCAGGCCAATGGTTGACTATAAGGATCTGCATCTATCTCAGCCAGCTGCTGCTAGAGCCTCTCAGAGGACAGCCGTGCTAGATTTCTGTCTCCAAGCACAATATGGTATCAGTGCAGAGTTTGGTCCCTGCACATGGGATGGATTCCAAATTGGGCCTGTCACTGGTCAGTCATTCCTTCAGTCTATGCTTGATTTTTGTCTCTGCATTTCATTTAGACAGGGACAATTCTAGGTCAAATATTTTGAATATGGGTGGGTGGCCCCATACCTCAACGAGGGACCATGTCTACCTACTAGAAGTGTTCTCTTCCAGTTCCATCTCCCCACTATTGAGAATTTTAGCTAAGATCATCCCCACTTGTCCTGGAAGCTTCTTACATGCCAGGTCTCTGGGACTTTCTAGAGGTTCTTCTAGGACCCTAATCCCCAATGCTACATATTTCTAATCATTGTGTTCAGAATCTCCTGGATGTTTTGGGTTATAATCCTTTTATACCTTTTTTTTTTGACCAATATGTCAGTATCTTTTATGGTATCTTCTATGCCTGTGATTCTGTCTTCTATCTCTTGTATTCTGCTGGTGATGCTTGCATTTGTAGTTTCTGATTTCTTTTCTAGGTCTTCCATTTTACAGGGTTCCCTCCATTTGTGATTTCTTTATTGTTTTTATTTCCATTTTTAGGTCTTATGGTGTTTTGATCAATTCCTTCACCTGGTTGATGGAGTTCTCCTGTATTTCTTTAAGGGATTTATTTATTTCTTCTTTAACACCTGTTTGCCTGTGTTTTCCTGTATTTCTTTGAGAGCATTATTTACATCCTCCTTAAAGGGTTCTATCATGTTCATGAGATGGAATTTTAAGTTAGAATCTAGCTTTTCAGGTGTGTTAGAGTATCCAGGGCTGGCTGTGGTGAAAGAACCGTATTCTGATGATGTCAAATTACATTGGCTTCTGTTGCTTATGTTCCTGTGCTTGCCTTTTGCCATCTAATTGTCTCTGATGTTAACTGCCATGGGTGTCTCGGACTGGAGCCAGCCTCCTTGGAGATACGTACATCTCTGTAACATAGGTTAAAGCAGGGCTCCTTGGAGGAAGGCAATGCTGTCTCTTGTTAGGTAGAGTCTCCTTTGTCCCTGGTTTGAGCTCTACTCCTGTGTCCCTGTTTAGGGGAGACTTCCTGTGTCACTGGTTAGGGTGATAATCCTGGAAGACAGCCAGACTTTGGGGTATCAAGGCAGGGCCTGTCTCAGGTGCAGATGGAAGAACAGACCAAAGGGCAGATGGAGCTCCCACAGAAGAGATAGATCTCATGTCCACTGGGCTCAGTTGGCATCCCAACTGGCAGGGTCTCATTTGTGTCCCTGGTTATGGCAGATCTCTTGGGATACAGGCAGGCTGTTTCTCTGGTTGCAGCAGACCTACCAAGACAGACAATCTGTGGCATGCTGCCATCTTTTCTTATTCAATTCTTATTACAGAAGAACACACCATTTGACCACTGATGCTGGCTGTGTGGTGACTTCTTACTATAAAATTCTTGCTGAGGTTACCCAGAAAACATGTGTCCCAGTGTCAGTTTACTGCCTGTTACACTGACATAATAGTTTACTCCTTCGGCTCTTCATAACTTGATACACTTTGAGCCTTCACTGACTGTTGACAGGCTCTCATTGACATTACATCATATTCTGCAGACACTTTAATTCAAATTTACCAACACTACTTTCTAATCATTCCATCCTTTGTATGAGGTAAACAATCCCAACAGCAAGTACTGCATTTCTTACTGAGAGTCTTGGAATGGCTGATGTTATACTTGAAGAAGACATTCACCATACTTTGTATGTTTCAGTTAAGTCTTCTCAGAGCATAGACTTTTTTACATTCCCTCAACCTCTAAACATTTACTCTGACAGTGTACATGCCATGCTTGTTGCTCTTATATTTCCTGGTAGCTTATAAAATGTACTGAGGACAAAAAGATGTTTCACTTGTCTCAGCATTCACAACAACAGCTTCAGATCCAAGAGATTCTCTTTATTTTCTCCAAAATCTTCAAGTACTATTCTTTCTGGTTTCTTAGAAGAAGGAAGTCAAGCTGTATATCCAGCTTCCTATTCCATTCAGATTCTTACTGAGTCTGCTCAGTTTAAGCAATCTACAGATTCATTCAATTTTCCATCATCCCTTACGGGGAAAAGCTGATGGGCCCGCATGCCGGGAATGGATCTTGGTTGCGTTGTTGATCTGCACGTCTTCTGCCTGGGGTGGGTACCTCAGGGAGGCAGCAGGCCCCAGGTGGCGAGCGAACTCAGCCTGGTTTCTGTGAGGTGGGGCAGAGTTCTCATGGGGCAATCCTGAGCCCGGAGGCAGCTGGGGATTGATTGGCCTCAATCCTGGGAAGCTCAGAGGCCGCTGAGACCATTACAGAATGGAGGAGGGGGAGCATCCAGTGTGCAGAGTGCTAAGAGAGGTGAGGGGGACAGAGAGAGCTCTGGAACTGAGCCCTATGGGAAGTGCTCGCTTGGCTTGGAAGGGCTGCTTGTTGAAGAGGCGGTCCCTGTGGCTGGAATGCAGAGAGGTCCTCCACGATGGCAGCATGACGATGGCAGCATGACGGCAGGCTCCAATAACATGACAAAATCCGGGGTTCCAAAGCTTTATTGTTCATGGTGAATGTAGATGGTCTGGGTGCACCCCCCACTTAAGCCAGAGTGTGCCTGGCTTAAATAGGGAGGAGGAGAGAGGAGGGACACTTAATTATTTATGCCCTCTGGCCTTTAGGTAATTCATTAATATGGAAATCTCTTGAGGCTGAAGCCCATAGTCATGCTCTCTACCTGTAGCCCTATGTGACTGCAAGGCAC